TTACATCAAACCAAAATCTAAAATGATGTCCCCGAAGAGCCAAAAGTGGCCAGAAATCTGCGAGATGGCCATGGGCTCTCACAAGACATGATCGCAGTTCATAAAAGAATTTCTTGGTTGGATTTAGATTTAAACTGTGACACCAAAGGGGAAAGATGAGTGACTAACCCTGGATCTATTTACTTCATCTAAAAATTTAATTTTTAAATGAATAACAGAGTGCTACCAATATGAACTTTACTGGAAAATCTGTCAAGCACTTTCTCTAATTATTATATATCTTAGCAGTACAACAAATGAAAGGATTATCAATGAAATCATATTAATCTACGAAGGATTAACAGCATACTGTTGAAAGACTTCAATAGAGAATAGATGGTTTATTCATGGACTGCAAAAGGACAGTATCAGAGATTTAAAACATGCAATGATCTTTTATTATATATTATGCTGAAGGAAAGTATAGAACTCGGAGCAGCAAAAATTCAAATGGACTGCAAGAAAGAACGTGTATATAAAGAAAACACTCCACACTGTAAAGACCAAAATAGTGATATAGTATCCATGAAGCAGAATACATTATATATGCTTACTCTCTATTGTTTATTCATTTTCTGTGAGTTTGTTACCATTTGTGTTCTCATTTTAATTTAGAATTTTAAACTTCTACATACTTTATACAAAAGGTCTCAAGTTACAAAAAGAAATGGAATTTTATTGAGCTTTCTGAATATTGGAATTGAGAATGAGGTGTTGATTTCCTACTCTAATGGGTGTTTCTAACAAATACAAAGGACCCCTACTACACACACATCTTTCAAAAGCAACTGATCATGTAAACTCTCAGTACAAAATATGGAAATTATGTTGTAGTAGAAGTGATTAAATGATTAGACATTTCCTCTTTGTTGATGACAAGATGAGTTTACCTCCTCAAGACAATCATCAGGGCTCTAGATTCCATAGTCACTCCTATTCATCTAGTCACTTAAGCACATGCTTAACTTTAACAGGACTTAAGAACATTCTTAAATGCTTTGATGTTAGAAATGAACATGTGCATAAGTGCTTTGCTGAATGTGGATGCAGTAATGAATCAGGACCTCTTGATGACTTCTAAGTTACTGCATAAATAAAAGTACATATATATATGCACACACGTATCAATGTATGGATGAGAGGATTGATTACGAGGTTATTATATTCAAACTCACACAAAACATGAATATGAAGAAACAATATTTAAACACAAAAATCTCTCTCAAATTGTGCACTGTTATAATCAGTGAACATTAGAAGTTACACTTAGGCCCCTACCAAATTTATGGCCCATTTTGGTCAATTTCATGGTAGTAAGATTTTTTTTTTTTACTGGAATTTTCATGATTTCAGCTAATTAAATCTGACTGCAAAAGGACAGTATCAGAGATACTGATGCTTTTACACTATACTATACATTCTAGGGGTTCCAACCCCTCAAAAAACCTGGGGTGAGGGTTTCAAGGTTATTGCTGGCTGAAATTGGTTGAAATCCTGCTATCTTTATTTTTGCACTGCTGCTGGTGGCAGCACTGCCTTCAGAGCTGGACATCTGGAGAGCAGCAGCTACTGCCTAGGAGCCCAGATCTGAAGTAAGAGCTACTGTCAGAAGCAGCACAGAAGTAAGGACGGCATGGCATGGTATTACCCCCTATCCATCTGTGCTGCTACCTGGAGAGCTGAGCCCTCAGTCAGCAGATGCCAGTTTCTGGCCACCCAGTTCTGAAGGCAAAAGTGTAGAAGTAAGAGTGGCAATACCATACTATGCCATCTTTATTTCTGTGACGCTACTGGTGGGGCACAGACTTCACAGCTGGGCACTCAGTCAACTGCCACTCTCTAGCCACCCAGCTTTGAAGGCAGCGCAGGAGCAAGGTTGGCAATCCTGCAACCCTCGTACCATAATCTTACAACCTCTCTACAACTCCCTTTTGAATCAGGACCTTCCAGTTTGAGAAACACTGGTCTATCCTGTACAATCTATATAGCATAACATAAAAGCACAGAAAACACTAGATTTCACAGAGGGAGACCAGTTTTCCAAGTCTGAGACACATTTTTCATGGCCATAAATTTGGCAAGGCCCTACTTATAATACTCTAGAAAAACAATGTGCTATCATTAAGACCGGATGTTAAAGTTGACTCAAAAGCAGTTCCAGCTTCAAGCTAGAGGACAAACGTAGTAGTAATTCAATGGGCTGAGCCTATGGGCCTGATCCTACAATTAGCTTCATGTTCTCAGTGCCCACTGATGCTAATGGGAGCTGAGGGTGCTGAATAACTCAAAGGATTGTGCTGTTGGAGCACAACAATGAAGTATTACATCGTAATTATATTCAAAATCTAGGATGTCTGCTTCTCCTCTGGAAATCATTTAATCTCTGATTAAGGCAAAAAAAAAAACCTCTCCCATCTCACTTTACAAAATTCCCAGAAAACCAATATATATATAATTCAGTTGGCTAGGACTTTCCAGAAAGACTAAAACAAAGAAGCACCTGCTAATCTTCCTTTCTGGCTTAATAGTAGTAGTTGTTACAGCTTCCTTTAATTTTTCATCTTGTGAATTTGTTCTCTTCTAGAAAAATAGAGAGAGAGCTAGTGAATGCTACAGAAGAAATCCATGAAAATTCATACGACTAAATATTACAAAAACTATAAATATTCAAAAAGGTTTGAAATATACAAAACACTTAGTGGAAAGAACCTATGCTGCTAAAATAGATAACCCCAATCTAGTCATAGCAGTGAATGGTAGAAATGAGCCCAGACATAGTCTTGCCTTGTTTCTAGATTGCAGATTCAGAAAGAAAAAGTCTTTTCCTTCTTGGCCCCACAGAAACAAAGTATAAAGTTCTATAAATATTTAATAAATTAAGGCAAAACAAAAAAGTATAGGGATTGATTACCACATTTTTTTTTAAAAGTCAGTTAGTTATATACCACAGACGGATGACTCCATGGTCTTAGTTATGATCTCTCTCTAATAGTGCACCATGGCTATTTCCATCTTTTTAATAGGTTAAGTTATATTAAAGCCTTTCACAAATAATATGATCACCCGAAGATAGTTCATGCAGTTTCAATATCTATCACACTTGGCTTTCCACATATAGGTGAGCATACTCTGAGTCTTTCGGACTGGAGATTTTGGGGGAAGGGAGAGATGGATGCACCCACATGCTCACTCAAGAGAAAGATTGATTTTCCTTTGTCAGGACCATACCATTAGGCTGTGTCTAGACTGGCAAGTTTTGCGGAAAAACTTGCCAGCTGTCTACACTGGCTGCTTGATTTTGTGCAAAAGCACTGACGCTCTACTGTCCAAAATCAGTGCTTCTTGCGCAAATACTTTGACGTTCCCATTCGGGCAAAAGCCCTTTTCTGGAAATGTTTTTGCGCAAGACGGCCAGTGTAGACAGCTAAAAACTGTTTTGCTCAAAAAAGCCTCGATGGTGAAAATGGCGATCGGGGCTTTCTTGCGCAAAACCGCGTCTAGATTGGCATGGACGCTTTTCCGCAAAAAGTGCTTTTGCAGAAAAGCATCCATGCAAATCTAGACACTCTTTTCTGCAAATGCTTTTAAGGGAAAAACTTTTCCGCTAAAAGCATTTGCGGAAAATCATGCCAGTCTAGACGTAGCCTTACTGACCCAGTTAACCTTTGCTCCCCTGTCACTTTTGCAGGAGAGAGAGAGATATTTTTGCTTTTTTCCTCTGAAAAATACTTTTCTAAACATAAATAACTGCAATGTTTCTATTCATTTCAAAACTGAACATTAATACACTATAAAATTTTGATGATGAGAACTGCTTGTAAAACAGTAAAACCCTTGGGACTTAGTATACAATAGTATCTCAAGTACTTTGTACTTTTAGAATGAACTGCTTCCTTAAGTCCTTTTTTTCACTGAATATCCCGAAGTATGGTACTTTCCTTCAATTGGTATGTCATAGTCAACCCTCAGAACATAAAGTGGGTAATGAGGAGCACCTCATAAAGTTTTGTTGTTAAAAGTTTGCACTAATGGTGCTCTTTGCGACACTCTCACAGCAAGAGATTTAAAAGCCAGCTTTATCTTTAGTGCAGCAAAGCATGTGTTTGACTCAGAATGAACTGTTCCCACTTCACACTATGATGATCCACTTGCCAGTTCAGTTCGCTCTGTCTCCCACTTATCAGAGGAATTGGCTGTTATAGCAATAGGCACTGGTTTAGAGAAGAAATTGCCTCACCTAAATATCTTATATGGAATTTCCCTTCCACAACCCTCCAATGGTACTTCTCCCATCCCCATTTGCCACAACTCTTCAAGGCCAGTTCCTCTCTATGCCCTTCCTTAAAGGTCCTGCCTCCCTTCAAGCTTATGATTATCACAGCACCTTTCCTCCACATCTCAATTTACCTTTAAGATCTAATCATGGGGTTCAGCAAGTTTTGCAAACTCTCTTCAGGGTCAGATTCAAAGCCTGCTTTCTGAAACAGGAGTGCCCTGCAATAAAGACCTTCCTTCCACTTTGTAAGCCACCTTTATCTTCCTCACCAGCACAATCAACTCCTCTGCTGCTTCCCAGTCCTGTTGCTCCCCAGCCTACTTTGCCATCTGCACAGCAGGATTTCTGAGAAAAGCTAAGTGCCATAAGTCTCAGCTTTCTCTCACCATCAGTGAGCAGAGTAGTTATTCAAGAATAAAGTCACATTTATTCTAAAATAATATAGCTAGTCTATAATAATTTAGTCCACTATGCCTAGGTCAGTCAATTTTTCCTTGAAGATAGAGTGTAAGGGGTTATTTGGGAAGAGTTTAAAGTTCCTGATCTACAGCAGGATTTTTAGCCCTTTTATTGCAACTAAATAAAAACAATAGCTTTAGCTTTAAATGAATCTAAAATGGAATGAAAAGGTTTCAAAACAGTTCTAAGTTTTGTGACTTAAGGAGACTTTGGGGGCATGGGGAAAGGGTAGACCAACAACATTTCAACCTATCAGGAATTAGACAGAGAAAAATAAAATGTGAGAGTTAGAAAAAAAAATCTGAAACTCAACACTAAATATTGTATTTCTGACACTGTGTTCTCACCTGCTACATTTTTTATGTGAGATGTCTCATGCTTTGCTCAGTTCAGAAGCTTAAACAAGCCCATTTGTATAGGGGAAATTCAAAAATACCAAGGTACTGTGTTTAGATAGTACTCTTGTTTGCCAGCCTTGAACCATAGTGCAAGAGTCAAATAGCTCATAACTAAAATAACAGCATTAGTTTTAGAGAACTCTCTTCCTCCTGATGAAGGTCATGGAAACAACACTATTGAAATAAGAATTGTGAGCAAACCACAACTACATCCTGTATTTTCTGAATGAAAACAAATCAATAACCTAAAATAATGGCATCCTAGTAATGCTACAGCTCACCTATACAATCTGTTATCCATTATCCAGCTTTCCCATATGCCTTTTAGTGAAAATGTTGTCAAATCTATTTTAAAGTTTAATGAACCCATTTAACTTTGTTGTTTCTTTTAATTTTCCAAAGAGCACATTAAAGCTATTCTAAACAAACAACAATACCCTTAGTGTGTTGATGTAAGTGAGGCTACAGGCACTTTGTGGGTCTGCTCTTTGTTTTCTCAAAATTCACATTCTATGTCTGGTGCATTTTCTGTCATAAAATGAAATCAATTAGAACTGCAAAAATATTCTAAAGGCTGGTTTTATTTCTATGTGAAACATGTTCACTACCAAAAGCTTCTCTTTTCAGATGGCTTTATTTCTGATTTTGGTTTAGTTTGGGGTTTATTTTGGTTTTTCCCCTGTTAATGCAAACTGTTTTCTTTTAACTGGATTACCTATTGTAACTTAGTGCCATGCAAATGAAAATGCCAAAAAGTAAACACACCTTGCTTACACACTAATTTATTCACCTGAGACTTCTCTCTTTAAATCCTATGTAGAACATTGACCCAGTGTTCATAGCAATCGTTAGCAATAGTTCCCCAACCCAATTGTGAAAACTGCTTCACTGAAGTGGAGCAAGGACAAAATTTTCAGAACCATTATAGAAAGTATCTCAATCATGCTGTATCACACAGAAAATGGGTTTGTCGCATCCAAAATAGTTAATAAACTGTCTCTACTATAGGCTCAGAAGGACCTGTTGTTCACAACCATTGTCCACAATGGGTCAACTGTATAACCTTGGCTAAGGTTAGAGTCAATGCCATCTTCTATGCATCTCCCAAGGAAGCATTTTTAACCACTGCTTCTAATATGATAAAGAACGATACTGGCAATTATATTCCCTGTGAGAGACCATTTATAAAAGACAATATTAAAGATTAGTGGCATGAGCAAAAGGTATTAAAATACTTTCATATGTGCATGTATAGATTGCTACATTATGCCTACATCTATATTACAAGCGAGGGCTGTAATTTCCTAGCTCACATACACATACTCATGTCATCTCTCTTCAAACTAGCAACAGTATAAATGATGCAGCTGTGGCAGCATGGATACCTGCAATGGAGTGTGCTGCGTACAAACCTGCCTGAACTAGTAGGTATGTAGTATGCATGGCTAAGCCTTGCATCTGCAGCTGCTGCCAAAGCTACTGTGACTACATTATTTATAGTCACTCTAGCTCAATGAGACCTTGCATAAATACATGTACACAAGCAGGGGAATCACACCCCTGGTGAGTGGTGTAGACATAACCTAAGACACATATCTCCATGGATATCCTATCTTGTACTTCTGTTTTATGTTCCATGTCTTATTTGAACTATTGTGACAATTTAATTTAGCAATAATCCTACATTCAATATTATCTAACTCCAGATGAAACACACTTCCCAGCTGCAGTTCTCACTGTTGTCTTTGAGAATTAACTGACTGTTGGGGTAATTCACAATTCTGACTGTTAAAAGAAGACAAGAGGGAGAGTGCTTATTGTACAAAGACTAGATTTAAAGCATTTTCCAAAGGGTACACAAAACAACTGACTATATATACATAAAAGTTTCATTTAGTTGAGTCACCATCATTAAGAGACATTTAGTGACGTCATGCAGTTGCAGAGTTGCTCAGGTTCCTGCTGTGACTATCCACAATTCTGTCCAAATCAATTTAAACTATCAAACCTCTATCCTCCTTTTATACTCAGTTTTATTCAGAAATAGAGCCTCCCTCCCTTTTAAGAACTAAAGGGATATTTAAAGAAAAGAAATCCTTCCACTTTTCTTTCTGCAAGCCTTTCAACCTTCATGGGAATTCCCATATAAGCTGCAATATGTAATAAAAATTAAGATTTTATGAAGTAGAATACTATGTTCAGCTCTGAAAGTTGAAGAAAAAGTTGAAAATGTGGATGAGTTACCCCCAACTGATACTTGCTATAATAAATAACCTGTAACATGAACCCCAAAACTATTTAGCTAAGAAATAAAATATGTTTAACTTTTGTTAAATTATTTCATTTCTTTTAGACTTTGTATCAGTTGTAACTATATAGACTGGACTAAACATCACCCTTTGGAGTGCTGCATATTTTTCAGTATTTAGTAAATGTTCTTTTAAAATCACTGATTGTAATTATTATGGTCCTGTTGCTACACTGCATTTCAGAGGACTCAATTTTGCATTTTTTAGCCCAATAGAAGAAGCCTCATATTGATGAAGAGTAAGATTTTGTTTTGCCAAAATTATGATTACGGTAATGAAGGATGTGAATGACAAATTAAAAATAAATCTAATTCCTTTTCACAATGAAAGTTTGGACTATCTAGAAAAAGGGATTTAAAGATGTGATAATAATTAGCACGCTTTAAATGTTTAGTGAAGAAAGTCCTTTAACGCACACTAAACTTGTCAAGTTTAAGTGTAGGCTTCTTGAGTACATGGAAGCATATGAAAAAACCTGGTGAAATTACAAACATAACTAGTTTAGCCCTATAATGAAAACTAGGGTTGCCAGGTATCTGGTTTTTACCCAGACTGTCCATTATTTGGGTCCCCTGTGGTAAAAAAAACACAGAAAATACCGGTGAAATGTCCAGTATTTCCTGTTTGCCTTGGATGGAAGCCCGGTGGGGACAATTTTCCCTGGTTGCGTTTGGGGGCAGGGAAGAATGAGGAGCACGGGGCCATTTAAAGGTGCAGTGCCCTTTTTTCCCCTCAATAACTGTAGTCTCCCCATCCCTCTTTTTTTTTTTTTTTTGGTCAACAACTTTGGTTCCCTCCTCCCCCCTCCCCGTTTTTCTTTTTTTTTGCTCAACAGAATTTTTTCCCTGTGTTTTTTTGGGAGGGGAAGTTGAACCATCTGGCAACTCTAAAGCCTCAAAGGAAAAACACTATTTGATAATACTTTGGCATATATAACATGAACTCCCAGTTAAGAAACTAGATTTCAACATTCAAGTATATACAATATTGCATGAGAAATGTATTAGAAGTGATTATTCATTTATCAGTTTAGTGTGGTATCACATACCTTTTTCTCTGATACTTTTATTATTGGACTCTTTTGCTCCACTTGTTTTTGCACTTTTGAAGGTTTCTTTGTTACCACCCCTCTCCAGTCCTGGTATTCTTTGCCTAGGTAGAAAGATCAATCCAGAATAATACATTATTTACCCATATTAACTATCCACTAATCCTACTGACACAAATTCAGCCCTCATATTAGTAGGTGAAACTCTCAAAGATATCTGTGGGAATGGCACCCACTCACTACACAAGCAGTCTTGTAAATGGGAACTACTTCCACAGCACACTTTTCAAATAATTTTCACCCTGCCTGAGATCTGGTTCAATGACAACAAAACTAGTAACATTCAAACATTGCTCCTCATGGGATCTGGTTTAATCCAGTCTTCCAGATTGCTGCAGACAATATTAAAGGAAACTCCAGCTGACCAAATCTTCTCCTCAGATTTAAATGGTTTAGCTCAACATCCTGTTACAGCTTTCCAATGGAGACCATATTCTTCTCCCATCCCCCATCCACTAGCTTCTTTCTTGCCACATATTCTACATGGAGAAGCCCACAAGGATCTCACCAAGTATCCCACCAGACCAAGGAA